AAAGTCTTAAAAAGTCAAGGGTTAATATTCAATTGAGATTTTAAGTGACATATTTTAAGCTTTTTAATATTTGAGACTTTATAACATTTTCAGATTTTGCAGGAATTCTATGGGGGTGATTGTTTACTATTTGTACAGTAATTTTTTTTACTCAAATTCAAATTTAACTCAACTTTAACTCAACCACACTATCTCCAATATTATTATATAATTAAATAACATCAACAAATCATTATTACATATCACATCAACTTTAATTCACTATTCATCTACTCACATAATTTTAACTAATTTTAACTAACTATCACTTCCAATCATCTTCTCTCACTTTTACATCAAATCAACTTTAACTATTTTATTTTAAATACTATTTTAATATATCCGCTAACAACTAACCATACCACTTTTTCTTAAACTTAACCATAATTAAAAAATTGTAGATTTTTTACTATTCAAAACATAAACAATCACCCCCATAAAATCTTAAATCTAGAGGTGGGATTTGAAGTGAGATTCATATAAGATTTTTTGTTTAGGAATGGGGGTGTCTATATGTACACCCCCTCAAGTGTAAAAAAGGGGTGTACATATAGCACTTTTCTTTGTGTAATTTATTAAAAGGGGGTGTACATATAGCATTGCCCTTAGGAATCCCACAAAAACTTAGAAAGTATTAATAAATCATAGTCTCAAATAAGTTAATCAGTGTTCTAGTGCCTAGTCGAACCCTAGAAATCAATATTAAATACTTTATTTTTATTTATTTTAATTATCTACAAAAATAAACTATTTCAACTTATAACCACACCAAAGTCCAAATAATAATAATAATATATATTAAAGAAAACATGCGAACAAAATAATGTAATTAGGATTCAAAAAAAAAAAACTGAAAAATTACCGTTGAGCCCGCCAGGAGCGCCTTGGTCCACATATGCTCGCCTAGGCGCCGCCTAACCACCTGACCGTCGAGCCCGCCAAGTCTGCCTAGAGCCAATGAGGCGCCTGACCAATTTTTTATGTTGATTTGTACAAATCGTAGGTGCCCGAGCACCGCCTAGCACCTAGGCCGAATTTTAGAATAGTGAGTTACATAACTCAAAATTTTGTAAGACTTTAAAAGTTTTAGCAAATCTAAATTGAATACACTAAATTTCGAAAGTTCGTAAGCCTATGTTTGGTTCACGGGAGGGGAGGGGAGGGGAGGGAATTTAATGGAAGGGAGGGGAGGGGAGGGAAAGGGAGGAAAAATATTTTACCTTGTTTGGATGGATTTTGTAGAGAGGGAGATGAAGGAAAATGATTAACCTTGTTTGGTTAGAAGATGGAGGGGGAGGGAAAATAATGTTAGAATGACAAATATATCCTTAATGATGTAAGAAAAAAAAATAAAATAATTCCAATAAGGTCAAAAGAGTAATTTGATGTTAAAAATTTTCCCTTCCCTCCAAATTCCCCCATTTTTGGAGGGGTGTGTATTTTCCCTCCTCCAAGGGATTTGAAGGGAAAATCTTAATCTCTCCCCTTACTTAAAATCGAACCAAACAAGGGAAAACTAAAAATTTCCCTCCCCTCCCTTCCCCTCCCCTCCGTTTCCTCCGAACCAAGCAAAGCCTAAAAGTCTCAATTAAATACATCCTCCTGAATTAAATACACAAAAATTTCTGAAGTCTTAAAAAGTTTTTTAAAATTTCAAGCGACTACACCTCCCAATTTACACCCCAACTTACGAATACAAATACTAGAGATGGGATTTGAAGTGAGATTCATATAAGATTTTTTGTTTAGGAATCCCACAAAAACTTAAAAAGTATTAATAAATCATAGTCTCAAATAAGTTAAATCAGTGTTCTAGCGCCTAGTCGAAACCTAGAAATCAATATTAAATACTTTATTTTTATTTATTTTAATTATCTACAAAATAAACTATTTCAGCTTATAACCATACCAAAGTCCAAATAATAATATTAATATATATTAAAGAAAACATGCGAACAAAATAATGTAATTAGGATTTAAAAAAAAATGAAAAATTGCCGTTGAGCCCGCCAGGAGCGCCTTGGTCCACATATGCTCGCCTAGGCGCCGCCTAACCGCCTGACCGTCGAGCCCGCCAAGTCTGCCTAGAGCCAATGAGGCGTCTGACCAATTTTTTTATGCTGATTTGTACAAATCGGAGGTGCCCGAGCACCGCCTAGCGCCTAGGCCGAATTTTAGAATAGTAGTTACATAACTCAAAATTTTGTAAGACTTTAAAAGTTTTAGCAAATCTAAATTGAATACACTAAATTTCGAAAGTTCGTAAAAGTCTCAATTGAATACATCCTCCTGAATTAAATACACAAAAATTTCTGAAGTCTTAAAAAGTTTTTTAAAATTTCAAGCGAATACACCTCCCAATTTACACCCCAACTTACGAATACAAATACTAGACACCAGAAAGGCAGTAAAATTTTTGTCAAAAGAAAGGAAATAAAAAAGAGCTAGTATGAAAAACCATTCCATTCCACAACAACAATCAATCTCTAAACAGGCTCGGATCATCAGCCTAAACGGACCAAGCCATCACGGGCCTCCTTCAAGTTGGGCTCAATTTTCAGCGCCTCCACAAAAGCATTCCTAGCCTCGTCTATTAATCCTTTAGTTCCGTAACATTGGCCCAATAAGCAGAAAGCCTTGGAATTGTCCGGGCTCAACACGACCGCTTCGACCAGGTCTTCAATTGCCGAGTCGACCCGTCTCCTCCGGTTCAGATCGATCTGCAACTCGGCCCGCCTCAACAGAGCATCTCCCTTCTCCCTACCAGACAGCATCTTCACCGCCGGCGGCGATAGCGCCGCGTCCAGGGACTTGAGGGCCGAAGCCTTGTGGCCCATCAGGCTCTGAGCCATGGCCTTCAGGATGTGGGCCGCAGGGTCCCTCGGCCCCAGGGCCAGGGCCTTGTCGGCTTCGCCGGCGGCGGACTTGGCGAGGTTGAGGGCCGCGGATTTGGATTTTGTAGATCGGGCCCGGGACAGGAGCTGGGCGCCCTGTATGAAGTGGCGGTGGGCCTGATTGTTGGGCTGGGCTTTCGATCGGAGCTTGGAAAAGGCCCGTTTGGGGAGACTGTGGAGGACGTAGAAGATGGCTAGGGTTAGAATCAGGATGCCCAATTGGAGGAGGATGTGTTGGTCCATTGTCTGGCTGATCGGAGTTTGTGGCTGCGCCGACGGTGGGCGGCGGTGGAAGGAGATGGCGGTGGGTTTTAGGGTAAAGTAGTTGGTATTCGGACCTTTTCAAGTGGGTTGTCTTCGATGATTCGGGTTTTGACCCGGTATCTGAGATCCGATTGCAATTGGTTCTAATTCCAGAAAATCAAGCATGACCCACGAAGGCAAAGCATGATGTGTGAGAAAGCTTTATTAGGATTTAAACACCTTGATAATTTTTAAATGAACTCAACCCTTTTGATAAAATCTCGGATGCTCGGCTTATGGAGCCATTTATAGTTATTCACAAATAATGTATTAATATGTGTTATACAATTAATACACTTTGAACATGTGTCAACATGTATGAGAGTTATATCTATGTTTCTCCTAATTCTTCGAACTATGGGTAATATTGCAGTCACAACATTCATGACTATTGAAATTCTAATTGACGGAAAAATTCACACATTTTTGTTAACATTTTGTAAGGTGAGTTCCACCAGATGGAAATAATCGGTTGAGTACAACATTAGCATTGCCACTAAGCCTTCCCTATTTTATTTTTTTGAGGACAACGTGCAAGTATATAACCACATATCTAATGAGTGTGATCGGTTCTTTCAGTGCATTATAACTAACTGAACACAAATATTACAGTACCGCTACAGTGTGTCTTGGTAGGTGTGCCAGAGCACATTTGCACGCGCCCCCTTACTCTCCAAAACTCCCCAATACTAGAGAAATTTGGAGAGTGTAGTTCACATCCCCAATTTTCTTTTTTAATTGAAAAATGGGACATATTACATAAATTAAAATATCATTAATTATTTATGTTAAAAAAATAAAATAAAAATACCAAAATTCATAATTTTTCATTATCTATAAATAGAGATAGGTTTTTGAACACAACTAATTTTTCGTTTTTTCATAATTTTTCATAATTTTTCGTAATTATTTTATTATACTGACATATAATGAACATGTTACATAATAAAATAAATATGTTTTCAAATATGATGAACATGTTACAGATTGTATACTGAAACAATACATATTCATCTTATTTTGTAACATGCTCACTTTATTGTGTATGTAACATGTTCATCTTATTCTATAACATGTTCATTTAATCATGTAACATGTTCATCTTATTATTTAATATGTTCATTTTATTACGTAGCATGTTCACCTTATTGTGTATGTAACATGTTCATCTTATTATATAACATGTTCATTTTATTATGTAACATGTTCATTTTATTCTATAACATGTTCATTTTATTTATGTAACATGTTCACCTTATTGTGCATGTAACATGTTCATCTTATTCCATAACATGTTATTTTATTATGTAACACATTCATCTTATTTTAGAACATGTCCATCTAAATTTC